TATCTTTGGTCTACACAAAATAGTCAAGGTCCTCCTTAATTTTGAGAGTCAACAACTATTTATTTACCTACATGATCTTCTTAACTGCTATCATTTTCCATCCCTCACTGTATGCATTCTTTGTTCCTGAGTTAGGGGATACCAATTACTGATGTAGAATCTGGATACTGGTGATCCAGATTCACAAAAATGTCTTTCTAGACAAGCACATCCTGTTCAACTACAAATGGAATTCTGTTCCTGGTGTACAACTCTTAAGAGATTCCCAGAGAAGATTCATTATCTCTGCATGCAAGACCCAACCACATTACTAGCCAGTCCTAAAAGCCTCACAAAGTATAAGATCTCATAATATACTGAGGCTGAGACCAACCAATAGCAAATCTCATATACTTGGAAAACTGAAGTATGGAAAAGGTCAGTTTTCCCATGAGTAGTCAAATGTGCCTATCCTCTCTCATCATCTCACTAGAGATGGTCAAACATCTCCCTCAAAGGATTTCATTTCTGCTCTATAGCATCGCTTAGGAGACTGAGCACATATAGGTGATGCTGAATGATTTGTTCAATGAATACATAAAAAATAACTGGAAAAAAGAGGACTCATGGGGTAGGCATTATACTATTTAGCCTCATCCCTCACTGATTTTAGAGGAAATGAAAGAAGGTTCTTAAGTAGGAAGTTTCTGGATAAATAAATGTTCATAGGATCTTAAATGACAGTTATTTCCAGAAAGAGAAAGAAAAAGTAACTTACATGGGCCATAGTTTATAAATTCAAGAACTGGTCAGTATTCCTTGGGGTTTACTTGCCTGGAGAACCAGAGTTCACAGAAACCAGAGCTAGGAGGAGGAAAGGGAGACCATGAGATCAGATAAGTCTCAGAAATCCCCAAGTGACTTAAGTTAATATGTCCCCTCCCCCCTCTTTAACAAACACACATACTGTACACACAGGGAGATTTGAGGGAATCTGGACTAATCTAATCCCTAGTCATAAATTCCAGGGCTGATAAAGGGCCACTTCCTCTAAAGCAGAATCTTTTTCAAAGTTTTGCAGGCCTGCTTGGCACCAATCCTGGCAGTCATTACCACTATCAAACTGCTGTACTGGCAGCCCTGCCTGCCTACTGCCAGAACTTCCAGAATCTTCTGGACTCCTCACTATTTTCAATCAGAATCATCCACATTGCTTTCCTGCATGACTTCATCTCTTTCTTACAACGAAGGTAAAAAAGTTATGGATTCATGCTCCCAGCAGGTAGATAATAGCATATCTATTTATCAAGAACTTTCATGTGATTGGTTTTTTATATACATTAGCTATCCTCAGGATTACAATGCAATATAATAATTATCCTATCTATGCAGTGGATCAAAAAATTCACACTCGAAGAAGTAAAATCACTTGTAGAAATTCAGTTAGTAAGTAGCAAAGTTTATTTTTCTAACCACAAAATCAGTACTCTTTCAACGGTAGCTCTTGCCTCAGAATTGCTAGTTCCAATTAGAGAAAGATGAGCATGTATGACTCACTAAAAAGTAGCAATACATCAAATCACCAAAAGATATTAAATATCACTTTAAGAGAATTGATGCCCATATCAGCAAGTTTGTGGTGAAATGAACAGTCTAACCTACAAAGGATGTAAATTTAGAAGTATGTACAAGAAATATTTAAACCATGCAAACTCTCTGACTCAGAAATTCTATTTTGGGGATTAAAGAAAATAATTATATAGGATGTCCCCCAAAAATGTATATGCACTTTGAATAATTATAAAGGCAGTGTTCATTAAAATACACTTTATTTTCAAAATTGAGCTATTACCTGTTAAAGTGTGTATACATTTTGGGGGGACACCCTGTACATGTACACAAATAGGCAAAACTGTTGACAAACATTATTCATAAAGCATCCATAAGGTGAAAAAACTTGCCACTTAAAAGTGATGGTGTAGGTCTTTAATTGGGAAGATGAAAATATGTTTACTACTTATTGCAGAGTGAAGAATGCTGGTAACAACAGTTGTAGGTAGTGTGACCCTATATGGCAGGACACACACACACACACACACACACACAGACACACGTATGTGCATTATATTCACTAAATACACTTTAGAAAATATTCAAGAAATGTAATCTTTAGAAAAATAAAATGGATATTATGACTATATTTGTAAAGTATACCTATATCAGCATAATGAGGTACTAACAGGCATCAAACATTAAGAAAAATCTGTAGCCCAGCCAGTATGGCTCAGTGATTTAGTGGCAACCCAGGGACCAAAAGGTCCGCAATTCAATTCTTGGTCAGGCACATGCCCAGGTTGCTGGCTTGATCCTCAGTAGGGGGCATGCAGGAGGCAGCCCATTGATAATGTTTCTCTCATCGATGTTTCTATTCCCTTTCCCTTCCTCTCTTTCTAAAAATCAATAAAAACATATTTTTTAAAAAAGAAAAATATGCAAAAAATGCTTATTTCAACATTAGAATATTTTTATTTATTGACTGACTTTAGAGAGAAAGAGAAACATCAATTTGTTTCTCCACCTATTTATGTATTAATTGGTTGACTCGTATGTATGTGCCCTGACCAAGGATCAAACCCACAACCTTGGTACTTCGGGACAACACTCTAACCAACTGAGCTACCCGGCCAGGGCCTCCACATTGTAATCTTAATTTTCTTTTTGCTTACATTGTTTCATTTTATATGGTCATATATACTCTTGAAACATATTTTTAAAATTTTACAAATAGGAAGCTTTTCTTCAAATAGGTGACTTACTTTTTAAAAATGCCTTGAACTTGGAGGGAAAAAAGCTGCTATGTTTTTATTTGTTTCCAATATGTGAACCAACTCTATGATTCATAACTTTGTCTATACATGTTAGTTTTGCCTAGAAAAGAATGTCTGAACATACCCAACTAGTGCTTTATTTCACTGCTGTTGCCTCTCATAACTTTTTAAAAAATAAAATTGAATGCTTTCTTTTTTAAAAAAATCATCACCTGAGGATTTATTGATTTTATTTTTTATAATCTATACTAATAAAACGGTAATATGCTAATTAGACTGGACATCTTCTGGACATCCTTCCGGACAAAGCCATGGTGGCGGGGACCAAGGCAGAGGCGGTTAGGGGAGACCAGGCCAGCAGAGGAGCAGTTAGGAGGCGACCAGGCTGGCAGGGGGGCAGTTAGGGGGCGACCAGGCTGGCAGAGGGGCAGTTAGGGGGTGACCCGGCTGGCAGGGGACCAGTTAGGGGGTGATCAGGCAGGCAAGCAGAGGCAGTTAGAGACAATCAGGCAGGCAGGCAGGCAAGCAATTAGGAGCCAGCAGTCCCAGATTGTGAGAGAGATGTCCCAGATTGGAGAGGGTGCAGGCCGGGCTGAGGGACCACGCCCCCCCCACACCACCCCCGTGCGTGAATTTCATGCACTGGGCCTTTAGTTTTTAATATATTTTTTTATTGATTTCAGAGACAAAGAGGAAGAGATAGAAACATCAATGATGAGGGAGAATCATCGATTGGCTACCTCCTGCATGCCCCACACTGGGGATCGAGCCCACAACCCAGATATGTCCCCTGACCTGGAATCAAACCATGACCTCCTGGTTCATAGGTCGAAACTCAACCCCTGAGCAACACCAGCTGGGCTGTTTATTGATTTTAGAGAGAGAGAAACATCTATGTGAGAAACAACAATCAGTTGCCTCCCATTCACACTCCAACCAGGGATTGAACCTGCAACCTTTGTGGTGTACAGGATGATGCTCCAACCACGGAGCAACCCAGCTGGGGCACCTCTCATAACTTCTTGATCTTGCTTCTGAACTTTTAATTTTAGCCATGATGCCTTCCAAAGAGTTAATGAATCTTCTTGTTTTGTTGGTCTCACTTTGCGTCAAAATTATAAGAGTAACTGTGAGGATATAAAGCTTATTGTATAAAATCTATTTACCTCCACAGAAATCCTATGGGTTTGGTTATTGTGGGGGTTTTTTGTAGAAAAAATGATTATTACTTTTTATTTTTAATTACAATTGACACTCAACATTATTTTATACTAAAGGCCCAGTGCACGGATTCGTGCACTGGTGGGGTCCCTCAGCCTAGACTGTGCCCTCTCACAATCCGGGACCCCTCGGGGGATGTTGGACTGCCGCTCCTGCCTGCCTCTCCTGCTCATCCCAGCACTGCTGCACCTGCCACAGCTCGCACCCAGTCAGTCCCGATGGGGAGAGGCTCGTGCTGCCTGCGTCTGGTGCCTGTTGGTCAGCTGAGTGGTGCTCCCACTGTGGGAGCACGCTGACCACCAGGGGGAAGCTCCTGTGTTGAGTGTGTGCCCCTTGGTGGTCAGGGCACTTCATAGCGACCGGTCAACTGGTCATTCGGTTGCTTAGGCTTTTATATATACAGATTAGTTTCAGGTGTACAGCATAATGGCTAGACATTTATATAATTCATGAAGTTATCCCCCCAATAAGTCAAGTATCCATCTGGAACCATACATAGTTATTACAATATTATTAACTATACTAGAGGCCCAGTGGGCGAAATCACGAGGTAGTCTGCCGCCCCACCCACCAGCGCACGCCCTGCCCACCCACCGCCCTGCCACTCCTCACAGCATTTGAACTCTCTTAAGGGTGGTTGGGAGGGAGTTTCCAATCCCATTCCTTTTCCTCTAATGGTTTTCCTGCCCCTCCCCGCTTTCCCTATGCTGGTCAGGAGAGCCTCTGGCCCCCCTCAAAGGCTAATCAGGGTAAAGAACCTTTGACCTTGGCTATAAAAGCACCTGTCTAACCACTGAGCTTATTAGGCCACCCGGAATCCAGATGCATAGTTACTTCAAATAAACATTTTTGAAAATTTAGGTCTCTGATATTGAGAGGAAAAAACTATTGCTTTAAAATAATGACAACACCTATTTCATATATTGTAATTAAAGTATGAAAAAAAAACCCTCATATAAAAAGGCTGGGGGGCTTCCGCCTTCCTGCTTCTGGCCTGGCGCATATAGAATTTAAACCTTCTCTCAGAAGTGTGGAGTAGAGCTAAAGAAGAAGACAACAACCAGGGGTCATCCTTCTGAAATTGTAATTGGCTCACTAATCCAGGACAAAGTTAGAGATCACAACTCAAGCATAAGTCCCCTTTTCCTAACACCATTACAAAGATGTTTGACATAAAAGCTTGGGCTGAGTATGTTGTGGAATGGGCTGCAAAGGATCCATATGGCTTCCTTACAACCGTTATTTTGGCCCTTACGCCATTGTTTCTAGCAAATGCTGTACTGTCCTGGAAACTGGCCAAGATGATTGAGGCCAGGGAAAAGGAGCAAAAGAAAAAACAAAAACGCCAAGAAAATATTGCAAAAGCTAAACGACTGAAAAAGGATTGAAGGAATGAACAGGCTCTGCAACCAGAGGAAACTCATTTGGGAAATTATGCAGCTTTGGAAGGACCCTGTAAGGTTTCTTATCTGGATTTATGATAGTATTTAATAAACGAAGCCTGAGCATATGGAAGAATAATGTTAGTTCTGACCGCTACTGCAGCAGCTTTTAGGCTTCTGTATAGAAGTCTATTGACAGTTATTTATTATGCCAAAAATGCTTTCTAACTGACTTAGTCATTTGCCATTTTGCAGCTTAATACATCCTGTGGAGAAAAAATGACTTTAGATTATGAACTCTACTCAAATACTGGCTCAAAAAGGGTTCTGTTCTGGACAAAGGAAACTAAGAATGTAAAAATGAGAACTGTCCTGAGGTGAAAAGTATGTTTTGGCTTAAAAAGAGATACAGCATATTAATTAAAAAAAAAAAAAAAGGCTGCAAAATATGTTATTTTACTTTGAAGACAGTAATAACTGAAAATAACAGGTTTCTTTCAGGCCACATCCTAAAAAGGTAGCTGCTTTTTTATGTCTAAGGCCTATACAAGTCTTAAAAGACCCCTGACCCTGCCTTCTGAAGATTTTAGGTTAACACATTTGTCTTAAAAACTGTGAGGTGCCCTGGCTGGTTTGGCTCAGTGGATAGAGAGTCAGCCTGTGGACTGAAGGGTCCCAGGTTCGATTCCAGCCAAGGGCACATGCCTGGGTTGTGGGCTTTATCCCCAGTGGAGGATGTGCAGGAGGCAGCCAATCAATGATTCTCTCTCATCATTAATGTTTCTATCTCTCTTTCCCTCTCCTTTCCTCTCTGAAATCAATAAAGATATTGTTTTAAAAAAAAACACAAAAAACTGTGAGGTGCCTAATTTTTAAAAACAACCGGCCACACCTCCTTCCTCAACCATACTGTCACATCATCCAAGTTATACTTTATAAACAGCCTTGATGTGCTACACACATGCAAAAAGTACACAAAGTGGGTAAACTACTTTGCCTTAGAAGTATATATTTAGTAATCACTTAGTTACATTATTTTATTTTTGTGAAATGAGAACTGATCGACCAAACCTTTCAAACAGACCCACCAGACGATAAATATCACCATATGTTTGATTCACAGTACATTTGGGCATAAACACTTCAAATACTAAGCTTTGTGTTTAGTATCAAAAACCTTTTCTTGAGAGAAACCAAGATGGCGGCATAGGTAAACACCGGAGTTTGCTGCCGCGAACAATCACTTCAAAAATACAACTAAAAGACAGAACGGACATCACGAATGCCCGGGTCCTTTCCAACCTGACAACTACCTAACAAATTGCAGCTGGGCCAGACAGACCCAGAACTTCCAAGAGAAGGCCCAAGGCCCCACAGCAGCTTGCATTGCTTCTCAGCTGGGCCTCATCTGGGCACCCCCAAACCCCCAAAAAAGGAAGGGGAATCTGCATATCTCTTCATAGCTCCTGCTGGGTAACCTCAGGAAGAGGCTTAATTAGCACCTCCTTAGATCCAAGAGCCAGTGTACCCAGTGGTCAGAGTGGGACCACCCAGATTACAACTCCTCAGATTCATAAGGAACACACTCAGGGGGCAGACTCAGTGAGCACCAAAGCCCCACTGAAGCAAGTCTTGCCCCAGAAGGGTGTCTTCAGCACAGAAGTTCTCCCACTGCAGACACAGCTGATTCTCACTGCCAATTGGCCTGGAGGTCAATTCCTCCCAGTGACACCTAAAACAATCAAGGCATAACTACAACAAGACTGTGCACAAAGCCCACAAGGGGGTGCACCAAGAGTGTCCACCTCAGGTAACTGGGGAGGCTGAGCCACTGGGCCCTGTAGGACACCTAGCACACAAAACCACTCTACCAACACAGGGAAGCAGACAAAATGCGAAGACAAAGAAACAGGTCACAAATGACAGAAATGGAGGACAGCAAACGACTGGATATAGAGTTCAAAACCACGGTTCTAAGATTTTTCAAGAATTTTATGGAAACCGCCGATAAATGTATTGAGATCCTTAAGAAATCTAGTGAGACCCTCGATGTTGTGATAAAGGACCAACTAGAAATTAAGCATACACTGACTGAAATAAAGAATATTATACAGACTCCCAACAGCAGACCAGAGGATCGCAAGAATCAAGTCAAAGATTTGAAATGCGAAGAAGCAAAAAACACCCAACCGGAAAAGCAAAATGAAAAAAGAATCCAAAAATACGAAGATAGTGTAAGGAGCCTCTGGGACAACTTCAAGCGTACCAACATCAGAATTATAGGGGTACCAGAAGAAGAGAGAGGGCAAGATATTGAAAACCTATTTGAAGAAATAATGACAGAAAACTTCCCCTACCTGGTGAAAGAAATAGACTTCCAAGTCCAGGAAGCGCAGAGAACCCCAAACAAAAGGAATCCAAAGAGGACCACACCAAGACACATCATAATTAAAATGCCAAGAGCAAAAGACAAAGAGAGAATCTTAAAAGCAGCAAGAGAAAAAAAGTCAGTTACCTATAAGGGAGTACCCATACGACTGTCAGCTGATTTCTCAACAGAAACTTTGCAGGCCAGAAGGGAGTGGCAAGAAATATTCAAAGTGATGAATAGCAAGAACCTACAACCAAGATTACTTTATCCAGCAAAGCTATCATTCAGAATTGAAGGTCAGATAAAGAGCTTCACAGATAAGGAAAAGCTAAAGGAGTTCATCACCACCAAACCAGTATTATATGAAATGCTGAAAGGTATCCTTTAAGAAGAGGAAGAAGAAGAAAAAGGTAAAGATACAAATTATGAACAACAAATACACATCTATCAACAAGTGAATCTAAAAATCAAGTGAATAAATAATCTGATGAACAGAATGAACTGGTGATTATAATAGAATCAGGGGCATAGAAAGGGAATGGACTGACTATTCTTGGGGGGGAAAGGGGTATGGGGGATGCGGGAAGAGACTGGACAAAAATCACGCACCTATGAAAGAGGACAGTGGGTGGGGAGTGAGGGTGGAGGGTTGGGTGGGAACTGGGTAGAGGGGAGTTATGGGGGGAAAAAAGAGGAACAAATATAATAATCTGAACAATAAAGATTTAATTAAAAAAAAAACCTTTTCTTTTGTGTGTTTTCGCTACAGATCCCTTGCCTCTGGATTACATTTTGAAAACTGCTTATTACAGATAAAGCACCTTTCCAGGTACGCTTCTGAGAAACAGATGTATTTATGCACACAATGGTGTGTGCACACCTTTTCACGCACAAATGTCCATACGATGCCTGCACCACACTCCCAGCACATGCCCACCACGTGTGTGCAGCCGCGCACCTGGGTCCTGGCATAAACAGGCTGCCCCCGAACACACTGGAGCCCCGCCGGCCTCCTCAGCAAAGTTTTTTGTTTTGTTTTGTTTTGTTTACTTTGAAATAGTTTCATTGGCTCATAAGACCTTTGCATATAAAAAAAAAATACCCCAGAACACTATGCAGTATTAAATCACAATTACATTTTTTTACCAATTAAAACTACCCAGAATATACATTTTTTAAAGGAAAAAAATCCTACAGAACTGAATTCTGAAATGACATTATGATTTAAATACTATGACAAAATAGGTAATTCCTTATAACATTAATTCATTGCAAAAAACTGCCAGACACTTCCATACGCATAACCATTGCAGAGTGCAAATGAACACAATTCAACAGTACACACTTAGCTGAAGTAGCTGTGCCTCCAATTAAGAAACTCTCAAATTTCTAGCACAAAAAGTTGGGCTGTTTTAACTTTTACCAGGAAACCAACTTAACAATCCATTTACTCTCTTTTTGGCCATTCCTATTAAAAAAAGAAGAAGAAGAAGAAGAAGAAAGAAAAGAAAATAACATCCTTCTGCTGTCATAGCTTCAAAGAGTCAGTATCACCTCTGCTTGAAGAAATCCCCTCCTCTCAATTCTTCAGGCAAGTATTCCTGGTCCACAGGCTCGCTGTACATGGGGTTGTATTTGTAGCCCTTGCCATAGCCCAGGTCCTTCATGAGCCGGGTCGGCGCATTCCTCAGGCAGGACGTGGGACAGAGGCCCCTGGTGGTTCCACAGGCAGGCTTTGATGTTGTTGTAGGCGATGTACACCTCAATAGACTTTGGGGCTCTGGCAAAATAGACTACACACTGGGCCAGAAGCACCTCGCATTCGGGCATGCCTGTGAAGTGACAGCCCTGGTAGGCGGCCACTGCTGTGGTAATGCGGATGGGTCTGCCAGACCTATGTCTTCACTGGCAAACCTCACCAGCCTCCTTGCCACATACAGCGGGTCCTCTCCTCCTTCGAGCATGCCAGCCAGTAGAGGGAGGAGCTCAGGCTGAGCCCGCATCAACTTATGAAGAGCAGAAATGCAGTTGTAGTGCTCTTCTCCTGCTCGGTCACATAAAATGTGAGACTTCTGGAGGCCTTCCTTTCACATCATTCTTAGTGATCGAGAACTCTACTGGGAGAATAGGTTGCCCACTCTTCTTACAAAACATCTTCCTGGAGCTTCATCTGGCCAGCACTGCCAGCTGCAGTCCATTCATTCCAATTTGTACTCCCCAGCAGAGTTAACCGGCGTCGCTACACCAGCTGCTCGAACCTCTCCACCCCCATGGGGCCTGGCGCCTGGGGTCACGCGGCCCACACCCACCCGAGCCACTCTGCTGGGGGCTCCATGCAGGGTGGGGGTGGGGGCAGGGTGGCCAGTGCCAAGAGGCACCTTGGAGAGCCAGAGGGTTTTTCTTTATTTTTAAAAGACTGCACCGCACACACCTGGCCCCCAGCGTCGCCCAGGCCTGGGCTAGGGGCCGTAGGCGGTTTGAAGACCAGCCACGCCCCCAATCCAGACGGAGGTGGGTCCCCTCATGGTGACCGGTTGATTGGTCGATTAGGTCGTGATGCCTCTTGGCCATTTATTATTATGACTAGAGGCCCGGTGCACAAAAATTTGTGCACTCGGGGGTCCCCCAGCCCGGCCTGTGCCCTCTCGCAGGCTAGGACCCCTCGGGAGATAACGACCTGCTGGCTTAGACCCGCTCCCGGGTGGCAGAGGGCAGGCCCAATCCCTAGGTGCAGCCCCTGGTCGGGCTCAGAGCAGGGCCGATTGGGGAGTTGGGGCGCTGCCCCCTGTCATGCACAGAGCAGGGCGGATCGGGAGGTTGCGATGCCACCCCTAGTCACGCTCAGGGTAGAGCCGATTGGGGGGTTGGGGCACCGCCCCCTGTCACACTCAAGGCAGGGTCGATAGGGAAGTTGCGGCGCCACCCCCTGTCACGCACAGAGCAGGGCCGATCAGGGGGTTGTGGTGCTGCCACTGTCACACTCAGGGCAGGGCCGATGGGGAGGTTATGGCTCTACCCCGTCACACACAGAGCAGGGCCCGTGG